AAAGGAGCTGCGTTGTCTAAGGCAGTACGCAGAGAACTAGCAACCCCATCAACAAGATGTATACAAAAGAGCAGCATAGCAGTGAAATGAACATTTCCATTTAAGTGCAGCAGTGATCAAATGTAAACAATGTAGGAGAGACATGAACAAAAGGCATTGATGTGGAGGGATCAGTTTAGTGCAAAATACATAAGTAAATAAATATAGTGCAAATTTAAAGGTATCTGAACATTGGTTTGGTGTCATCAGTGTGATGGCGGTGGGGAAGAAGCTGCTGCAGAACCTGCTGATCCTGCATTGAATGCTGGGAAGCCTCTTCCCAGAGGGCAGCAGGGAGAACAGTCCATGGTGGGGGGGTGAGGGGTCATTGATGATGTCACGGGACACGCAGAGCTGGGATGAAATGTCTTTCATGGAGGGAAGAGGAGCCCCCATGATCCTCTCTGCTGTTCTCACCTTCTTCCAGTCTGAGGCGCTGCAGCCTCCACACCACACAGTGAACCAAGACAAGTGTAAAAGTCACGCAAAAAGCCATTAACATCATAACATTGGTTTAAAACATAAGAATGGGACCTAGTTCTGCCAGCTGACCGTCTTCCTCTGTGCCCTAGTTGGGGAAGCACTGAGCTCAACATGGTGGCATCAAAAGATTCAGTCAAACAAACAATCCTCTGTGGGCGTGATGAGGCATCATCAGGTGAAAATCCCCCCATAATCAAACCTTTACCAGATATATTATTCAAGCCGTTTCAGGAAGCACCAGCAGAGGGCAGCAGGGTAACTTGTTAGAGGAACCTATTGTGATCATTTGTGATTGGAATGAGGGTCATTCTGCATGTGTATCTATTCCCTTATACTTTAGTTTTTGCATAATTTATATATCCAGTGGTTGAGTTTTAAAATCTTTTCCAGGAGGTCCTACGAAATGGAAAGGCCAAAAGTATCGCAGCTGGAAGATGGCCCAGCCTGCTGAGCCTAACGTGTCCACGAAGTAGTGGCAGCGGCAGCAGCAGTGAGCTGTCTCTGTCCAGTGCTGGCAGCGAATACTCCAGCGGGTCTCATACCTGGGCAGACGGACGGGGTTTCTCCAAACAGGTACAGTTTAGGTTCTCTTTATCTCGTGTGACTGACCTTATGCTTAAAGAACAATTAAACATTTATTAATGTCCCCACAGTGTGGCCCCAGCCGTGACAAACGGATGAGTACAGGCTCAGTATCCAGCAATCATTCAGTCTTCATTGAGCAAACTGACCTGGGATGGAAAGAGGGCCATATTCTGAGAGGCCTAAAGCATCTTCAGATGAACAAGTCCAAAGAGGCAACCTCAGCTGCAGCATCACACTGCAAAGACTGTATGACCTCAAACGAGGGTATATACTCTTCTGGTGTCAAGTCACGCCAACAAGGTTCTCCTTCCAAGAAACCTCCAATATGTAAACCTGTAAGCACTGATACAGGGGCTTCCATCCTGGACATTGAAGATCCAGATGAGAAATCCCATTCAACAGAATCAGGTGACCGAGCAACAAAAAAACATCTTCATTTGGACACACTGATAGTCACCGACGCTGACGAAAAAGCTCTGCGAGAAAACTCATCTATTCCAGCTAATTCTGGTCTTTTTCCTTCACCTGACTTTGACAACTTCCTATATTTAGAGGGACCCACAGTCAAACCTGGAGTGAGCCCAACAGATAGCCTTACAAGGTCTGCAGGGATGAACAAGAACTCATTGGATGAGCAAATATTTTCTGTCCAGAAGATCAGCGATAGGAATAACAACCAAGAACGGTCCACTGACCGTAAATCCAGACTTGATTCTAATAAAAGACAACAAGCTAGACTTCCCATCAAACAAACAGAAGCAGAGCTAAATGATGTCAGTTCATTAGTTCAGCATTCTGCAACAAGAGCTCTAAGCTGTATGAATGAAGCCAGACAGCGAAGCTCCTCCATGGAGGTGCCTCACTGCAGAGACCAGGCAAACCAAGCCGGCTGGGAAAGCAAGGCCTGGACCAGCTCAGAATCGCCACAGAGGAGGCCAAAACTGCACTTTTGTGACTCGGCAAGGAAGGCGTTTATCCTGCGAAGCAAGAGTGCAGATGGAGGCCAAGAACAACTTAAACATACCCACTCTCCTCTCCATCAGAAGCTTATCAAGGGTCAAAGGTCCAAAGGGCAGCAAAGCCCACGCTCGCTAGCTCCCAGTGTTCCAGCCAAAAGGGCAAACCCTCACACCTCAAGCCAATGCACATTAGCTCAAATGGAGAAAGACCAAGATGTTTTGGTGTCAGCAGGTTCCAAGTCTCTTGAGAGCGTGCCACAGCTGTCTCCACTTGCATCTCCTGTAAAACAGTCAAAGATTCTTAAGTCACCAGGCATTAAAGATAGCCCAAAGAGTCCCACTAACCAATCAGCTAGAGTCTCTAGCAATGATTCTATTGAAGAGAACATCTATGACAACCTGCCATGTTCACCACAGAAACAGAGACGCCAAGAACAAGACTGTGATCGGCTGAGATCGGAACAAAGGTCTCCATCTCCACCCCTACCACCGGGTCGAACTACTTCCCTTCTCCTTAGATCCGTCTCAGAGTGCGCAACCAAAGACAAAAATGTGACAAGTCCGATTCAAAGTTCAACCACTGGCAAGCCATCATCAGCTATGGCTAAGACAAATCCTGAGGTCAGTTCTGCTCTAGAAACTCAACAATCCAACAAGAAAACAGATGAAGACCCAAAAAGGACAGATATTCCTAGCTCAGTCTGCCTCTCCAATCAATCAAACATCCCTCATGCCCCTGTTCAAGAATCAGAGCCTTCAGATTCGTTTCAGCTCGATAGAATCATCTCATGTCCCAATGGGAACGGAGCTCCCAGTATGTCAACAAATCAGAATATTCTGCAAAGATCCCAACAGAGCATCAGTGAGCCAAAACTTTCGGAAGTCTTGCCCACTACTTTCTCTCATGTTTTCCACCATGCGATGCCGGGTAATCCCCACACCTCCACTTCCAATGCTGTAAAGAGGTCTCTTCCTGTGAATGCCAAATCTCATGAAGCAATCTCTGGACATAACGGGACTACCTTTCTGGTTTTTGGAGGACAGAGTAAAGACGAAGCACACAGTCTTCAGACACTCCAGACGTTTAGATGTGATCCCCATGTGATGCATAACTATGGTGAACGGGAGACATCTTGTAGGAAGATTGAGACCCGCTGTAACTCCCTGGATTCTGAGCCACTTCAGCCTGTTGGATCTGACACTAGTGGGATGTTAGACTGGGGATTCGATGAGCAGGGCTGGCTCTTTAAACGGTCCGTATCCGTTTCTACCAGACCTCTTCTAAAGCCAGTTCTGGGCATGAATGGAGCTAAGGCTCGTAGTCAGAGCTTCGGCGCGCGCTACATTGACAGGCAGAGTTTCAACAGATCTGGAAAGGTACGTACCCAGATCAAAACCCATTCAGGGAGCTCCCTCAATTCTCTTGGAGACGTCCTTCCAGGTAGTATGAGCTGCTCCAGCAGCTACCACTGTCCGATGAATAGATCACTTCTCAACAACTTTTTGATTGAAGAAGGGTTAAGGGTTCCCTCTCACTTGGGGTCCTCCAGTGAAAAACTTCAAAGTCTTAAACTCCAGCGAGAGCAGGCCAGGCGGCTTCAGATCGAGCAACAGTTTTCAAGCGCCTTTGGAGAGCCGGTCTCTGAGGAACCGGAGAGACAAAGCACTATAACCACCATTGAAGAGAAAGTGATGCTTGGGATTGAGGAGAACTTGCACAAGTCCCAGGAAAATGAGAAAACTAGTGAAGTGAAGCCCAAGTCAGGCTCTAGCATTGCTAGTTGGTTTGGATTCCGTAAGAGTAAGCTTCCTGCTCCAAGCAACAAAAAGACGGATCCGCCAGAAGCCAAAAAAGAAAAGCGGGAACAAAAGATTACATCTCTGCTGGGAGGAAAAAGTGCAAAGTCTGACAAGAAGAAAGACAGACGGAAAAGTGATGGAAATGATTGGTAAGAGTTCCTGAAATCATGACTGTATTCTCTGAGTCTAGAAGTGACTGAATCTGTTCTCACTACTGGTTCTTAAGACACAGCCCAGAATTTTCCTACATTTAAAACTCCTGATTCAGATGTTTAACGTCCAACAAATCAATGGAAAGCAGTTGAAGTGAAGCAGAGGTTCAGGGCAGGGTGGCTTAAGGACCAGGTAGAAGAAAACCGTCAGATCCCAGACTTCCTCGTCTGGTGGCCCAGTCCTGGCAGCTTCAGTCAACTTAACTAGACTGGAAAATGTTGATGAATGGTTTTATTTTTTCAGCTCTGTGGGAATAAGAGAGTCACATGATGCAGTCCGGGCATGCATCTCCATGCCCTGCCCAGGAATGTCCCTCAGTGAGGTCCAAGGACACGCCCACCTCATGGGGGATCCTCAGGTAAAGGCTTCCTGTCGACTCCTTTATCTCAAATAGAAACTCAAACTTAATCCAGACAGTGAAATTATGAAAGAAGATCCAGATTAGGATCAGTTGATTGATTCCAAATCCTTAGAATAATCAGTAGTCATAGTTCATCAAATCTCGACACCACGCCCACATTCCAGAGTGACAGCTGGAAGTCCCGCCCTCATTAATTAATAATGACTAAAAATTATAATGATGTTATTTTTATAAAAACTGTTATAATTATTAATTATTATTTTTATGTATTTATTATATAATCATTGTTAACATTTCAACCGGTGCCTGGAGCATCTGACCTCTGACCTCTGACCTCTAACTGCAGGGTTAAATCTGAGCTTAATCCTCAATCCTGGGAAATTAATCCAACAAAGAGTCTCATTAAAACATATGATTATTATTTACACAATTTGGATAAAGCAATTAAAGCAACGTTTCTTGTTTCATAATTGATAATGATTTTTAAAATGATAATTTTGGTACCCCTTCCTTAAAAAATCAAGAAACATCCGCTGGACTTGGTTTCCAAGGTTTTAAGACGTTTCTCTTCCCATCCAGGAAGCTTTCTCAGTTCAAACGTCTGAATCCGCAGTGAGTTTGAGTCTTTATAGACGAAGCCTTATTATTCTGTTAACGTTGAAATAAAACCCGACGCTGTTAGGAAAGAATTACAGACTGTTTCTGGAATGTGTGAAATGGAAGAACTGGTTTAGATCTCAGCGCTACTTTCTGTAAGATTGTGGGTGTCCAAGTCCAGCCTCCATGGGCCCCGGGTCCGTGCTATAGCAGCTCTGCAG